AACTTGAACAGGGCATCATAGCGGGTGGAAATTTAACTGTGCAGGCACCTAGCATCCATTGACATACCTTGTCGCGTGTATAACTGATCAACGCATAACCACCCACCGTTGGCAGCGATAGTCGTGACCAAAGTCGTTTGGATGGAATGTCCACGGTAGCAGACAAGCGATACTGGCTTCAGTTACATATCCCAATTCAATGCAAGAGAAAGCATATGCATATCCAGCAGGTCAGGTCACTGCTATTTAATTTCCATGGGTTATGGGAACGGAAGATCTATTAGGCTGCTTCAGTTCACACCATGACACCAGGCAGATCACTTCATCTGGGTTCGTAACGCGGCTAATTGAAATCTGGACAACTGATAACATTGAGCTTGGTTCAATGAGTCATGGTTCTAATTATTTTGGGTTAAGGATATCATTTAGGACCTGCGGCAGACCTCATAGCCTTATCGATCCCACTTATCAAGACCAAAATGGATGACCGCTTGGGAATACGAGGAGCTGGATGGGCAGTTGGTGTAATGGATAACGGTTCAGAATTGAAAATTGAAGAGCCGTGTTCCAATTCCAGTCGGGTTCTTTATATTTATTTATTTTGGGAAAGGTATCAATCCGTCTCTTTTCACCCTCCACCAATTATTTGTTAAGTCAGTGTTTCTCAACTGGTGAGCCGAAAGGTAGCCAGGTGCGCCCCAATTTAACACAAGAGTAATTTATGAATTATTTTTTATTAAAAAAATCGTTATTTTTAAAAAGCTAGAGACGCCAAGCACATGTCTTTCCATATCGAAGTAAAGTCTTTGCCATCTGATATTTTAAACGGGAATCTATATCTTTTAATCTTTAAAGAGTGGATAATTCTTTCCCTTTTACCCTTCCTAAAGCATTACCGACATTTTTTTAAAATAATAGCAGATTCTTTATAAATCCCTTAAAATAAAATTTTATTGCTTCTTTGGGGATTCTAATCCAAAATTTCATATTTTCAAATTTCATTATTAATTTCCTTATTAAATTTTAAAGTGCGCCTTGGATTAAAAGAATGATAATTAGTAGGACTTGTATCAGTAAATTATTATATCAAAAAAAATTCTTACAATCTAAAAATATTTTCTATGTTTAGATAAGGTGCAAAAGGTTGTTAAACCTTAAAAAACAAATCCATCAATGAAACCCACTTGTCAAGAAGATAGCGTGAAAGCTGGTGGTGGTTCCATTATAGTGTGAAGTGTGTTCATGTGTCTTGTTGTTATGGTCCAGGTTAGGACCAAGGAAGAACAACACGAACACAAGAGTAGAAATAACGAAGGTGTGGCACCATGCATCCTGACGATTTGAAAGAAATATTTATAGATATATGATTTGCTTTTTTACGGTTTATCAACCATTTGAGGATTATTTAAGGCCGAAAAAATATTTTAGTTTTTAAGAATAATTCTTTCTTTGCATTCAAGCGATTTGGGAGAAAGAAAGAGAAAACGAAGAAGAAGAAAGAAAAAGTAATACGAGACGAGTCATAGGCGAACACACACACGGCTTAAGAGACGGAAATGAGGAGGAAGAAGGTTATTGTTGATAGATATCAGATGTCGAAAATATCTAGGTCACCTACGAACAAGCGTTGACCAATTTCCGCTTGTCCACGAAAAATGGAATTTTGTTATCATTGGATGTCACCAAAAAGAAGAAATCCATTGTTGAACATTGACGAAACACAGACGGTCTTCCCTGGGTGTAAAGAATTGAAAAAAAAAATTCCCACACAAGTAGTTTTCGCTGGCTAAGTTTTTTTTTCTTTTGACAGAATAAACGCTTGCCCTGTGATAATAAAGATTTTTTGTTGTCAACACATGGGCCGAAAGGAAAATGAAATGTCTTTATTTTTGCTTTAGAGACGCCAGGTAGGCTAGGAAAATTCCTTTCTTAGATCATGTCCAATTAGCGATAAACTGCTTGACAAACGCCACGTGTTAAAACCAAGAGTGTCACCTCGGCCGCTCATGATAAGGGCGATTTAATTAATTTTTTTTTTTTTTAGTTAAGCAAGGTATTTCTTTCCCAAAACAAAGCCACGGGTTGTTCACGCCCGACTAAGACGTCATTGGCCAAGTGGATCACATGACGCACGAGGGAGGAGGAAAGATACCCGACTAAGACGTCATTGGCCAAGTGGATCACATGACGCACGAAGGAGGAGGAAAGATACCCGACCAGAACCTCATTGGCCGAGAGCGATCACGTGACGCACGAAGAAAATCAGTCGACGCCTCTATCAGTGTAAGTGTGAGAAGCCGATACGAAGAAGTGGGGAAGTTAGTGCACGCCCCTCAGAAGCACAGTAAGAGAGTTGGAGTGAGAAAAGAGTTACCAAAAATGGAAAAGAGTGGAAAATCCCTAACCAGAAATAAGAAGGGTAGATACGTATTTAGAATTATCGAAGAACACTCGACGCCAAACAGACCCACCCCAGTTTTGACGGCGTCAATAAAAACGAAGCCCCACCAGACAGAAATCTGTTGAGCCCCAGACGGCAGGCAGAGATGAGTGCCCAGTGTTGAAACCACATCAAGATAGCTGACCAAGATTCACGCATACTTTTGGACTCTTCTTCAACCAAGAACAAGTAGTTTGAAGAGCGACTTAGGACCAGACCACAGAAATAAGTTTTTCGACTTTCGTCCAAAGACACACCGAAAAACAAATTTCTTAGAGGCTAGACAACTTGAAGCCTTAGAATTTGTCTAGCGAAAGTGTCGTGCCACAATCCACAGAACGGGTCGGGAAGTAGACATAGTCCTATGTACCGAACAAATAGACATAAAAAGTCTGTTACCTTTTTCTTTGATACTTTGAACTTTGTGAGTTTTCATTTTATTTTCTTTTATACATATTTGTGTATTATCACCCCCGTTGAACTCAGCTTACATTACGGCCCCAACCCCTGTTTGATCTCGTCTGTCTAAGATCAATTCACAACGTGGGTAGGCAGACTGGAGATCAGTTCAGTTACCCTGGTAACCAGGCGTTGGAAGCAGGTTGGGAATCACCAAAGGGTTAGAACGTCACGTTTGGAGCAGCGACACCCGGACGGAGCAGCGAGGAGCGAACAGCTGACGCCGCGGCGAAGACGTCAAATTGGTGCTGTTTAGGGACGTCACAACTGGCGCCGTGGTAGATCAGGATAGAACGTCACAGTCGGCGCTGCGACCGGGGGACGACGTCACAAAGGTATATTACACGAAATAATAATACAAGATGTGGAAGGTGTTAGTATGACTGTCAGTCTGGTTTGGAGTGAACTACTATCGGCTCGACTCGATTCGATATTTACTTGCGCCCCCCCCCCTACGAGGGAAAGATGTGGCACAAGGCCAAGTTTAACGTGGGTTTCCCGAGCCCGTAAGCTCAGCCAAAAAATGCCCGTAGAAGCTGTAAAAGCAGAATTGGGTTGGTCAACCTCCCCGAGCAAGACTCTGCCCTTCGGCGGAGCCTCATCCGTGTTTCTCTCTGCTCAGAGTCAGAGAGTTCGACCATCAAGCCGAGAAGCTCGGCTCGATTCGGTATCTAGGCACCCCTCACGAGGGTTGCATGTGGCACAAGGCCGAGTTTAACGTGGGTTTACCGAGCCCGTAGGCTCGGCCAAAAAATGCCCGTAGAACCCGTATAAACGGGATTGGGTTGGTCAACCTCCCCGAAAGAGACTCTGCCCTTCGGCGGAGCCTCGTCTGGGTTCCTTTCTGCTCAGAGGCAGAAAGTTCGACCGTCAAGCCGAGAAGCTCGGCTTGATTCAGTATCTAGCCACCCCCCCACGAGGGTTGCATGCGACACAAGGTCATTTTTATCGTGGGTTTCCTGAGCCCGTAGGCTCAGCCAAAAATATGCCCGTATAACTCGTAAAAACGAGATCGGGTGGGTCATTCACCCCGAACGAGATTCTGCCCTTCGGCGGAACCTCGTCCGGTTCCTTTCTGCTCAGAGGCAGAGAGTTCGACCGTCAAGTCGAGAAGCTCGGCTTGATTCGTCCCTCTCTCTTGAGAGGCGTAGTATACATAGTGTTAGGAAGAGTTCATTCTGCAGTTATAGGTAAGGACCCATGACACTTGTTTTGGGTCTTCTTCTTTCTAAACTGGTCACTAAATAATAACCGGTGCTGTTACATGACCAATCCCAACCATCTAAACCATCAATGATGAATTACTCCAGCAGAGGCTAAAGCACCTTGTCATCGGGCCCAAATTGCCTAGAATTGGCTGAGAGGTGGCTTATAGAAACTGCTGACGAATGGCGTAACCACCACATTCGCTTTACATGATCCCAATCGAGTATTTACGGGACATTGTGGATAGGCTCCGTGCACGCCGACGTGGCGTAAATGTTAACAAGCTTCTCTCGCTACATTAATTACAAGTGAATAGTGAGTCCGATGCTCACTAGGTGCCCCCATGCTTTCTGTCTTGTGCCACATCTAAGTTATGCTTAGAAAACCATCATGTTCGAAAAGGAGATCATGCATCAAAGATATCAGGCAGCTGTATACAGCTATGGAGACGGCAAGCTTAACATCTCTCTCCAGAAGACACTCGACCACTTCTCGAACTGATACGGCATCAAGTTGTTGCACTCCAGCTGACTAAAAAAGATCCTTGTACCGATCCCATTAGTTTTGGCACGTCAGTGTAAATAAGCATGCCTGTTTTGTGCATAGATATATACATATATATGCACGTATTTACATCTACACAAATGTGTATGTTTGTGTGGAGGCTTTTAGAGGCGAATTCCAGAAGAGTTTACCGATTGGTGGCTTTAAAAAATGGTCATCATTATAAGAAAAAGTAAGTCTGATGCAATGTACGTTGTGTTATTTCGAGGTCGTCCAGGGATGACCTTTTTTGTTCCTGATTATTGGTGTGGAAACGGTTCAACACAGTTCGTCTATAAACAATTTACTGTTGTGCCGCCCTCCGCAGAGTCTCGTTCGGGGCTTATTTCACGCTCAGGTTAACTTTATGAATATTTATGAGTAAAAGCAAATGGGAGGAGAGAAAAAAAACGAAGCAATAAAAAGAAACTGCACAAATGCAGACAAAGTTGTTTGAGAGAAAATAGCAAGGGAAAAAGAAGGAAGTGAAGAAGTAAGTAATTAAAAAATTAAATGGATAGCAAAAAGCGAGTGTGAAAACTACGACGAGAAAGGAATTCAGAACTAAGTGGGGTGGTGAAGTGGTGAAGAAAGAAAGAAAGAAAGAAAGAAAGAAAAAACTTGAAAGAAAAAATTTGCAGAAAAAAAAAAGAAAAAGAACTTGAAAAAGAAAATTTGAAGAAAGAAAGAAAGAAAGAAAGAAAGACTTGCAGAAAGAAAGAAAAAAAGACTTGAAAAAGAAAAATTTGAAGAAAGAAAGAAAGAAAGACTTGCAGAAAGAAAGAAAAAAGACTTGAAGAAAGAAAAATTTGAAGAAAGAAAGAAAGAAAGAAAGACTTGCAGAAAGAAAGAAAAAAAGACTTGAAAAAGAAAAATTTGAAGAAAGAAAGAAAGAAAGACTTGCAGAAAGAAAGAAAAAAGACTTGAAAAAGAAAAATTTGAAGAAAGAAAGAAAGAAAGAAAGAAAGAAAGACTTGAAGAAAGAAAAAAAAAAGACTTGAAAAAAAGAAAAATTTGAAGAAAGAAAGAAAAAAAGACTTGAAAAAGAAAAATTTGAAAGAAAAAAAGACTTGAAGAAAAGAAAAAAAGAAAGAAAGAAAGAAAGAAAGAAAGAAAGACTTGAAGAAAGAAAGAAAGAAAGAAAGAAAGACTTGAAGAAAGAAAGATTTGAGGAAAGAAGGAAAGACTCCAAGAAAGAAAGAAAAAGAAAGACTTGAATAAAGAAAGAAAAACTTGAAGAAAGAAAGACTTGAAAAGAGAAAAACTTGAAGAAAGAAAGAGAGAAAGAGAGAGAGAGAGACTTGAAGGGAGAAAGAAAGACTTGAAGAAAGAAAGAGAGAAAGAGAGAGAGAGAGACTTGAAGGGAGAAAGAAAGACTTGAAGAAAGAAAGAGAGAAAGAGAGAGAGAGAGACTTGAAGGAAGAAAGAAAGACTTGAAGAAAGAAAGAACAGCTTGAAGAATAAAAGAAAGACTTGAAGAAAGAAAGACTTGAGGAAAAAAGGAAAGACAAAGAAGGAAAGAAAGAAAAAAAGAAAGCCTTGAAGAAAGATGAACTTGAATAAAGCGTGAAAAGAAAGGAAGAAAGAAATCACAGGCCTGTTGGAATCAGAAGATTGACGTGAAGTGATAATTAAAAAAACAAAAAGTAAACATAAATAGGGAAAAAATGAACAAAAATATTTTGGCTTTTGAGAATATTAAAATATTAAGAAAGAAAATAACAACGAATGATGTATTTATGAAAACCGAAAAAATAAAAAAAATTCTTTTTGAATTCGATAAAATTTTTCTTACAAGAAAAAAGAAAAAAGAACAAAATTATCCCATTACCAACAGCAAAAAGACCAACCGACCCACTGTCGACCCGTTTCCACCCTCCAATCTCCACCCGACCCATCGCCAAAAATAAGTGGACGGTAGGGTGGCGGCAGCAATGGGATGGTTGGATGGACTTAATAGACAGAAAAGAATGGCAGCCAATAAAAGAAAGATAAATCTCACACGGACCGTGTGATAAAGAATTAGTCACATGACTAAACTCTGTCCATCTTCTGAGCACAATGGATATTGGCTGTGACAATCAAATCCCGCCCCGCTTTTCTGCCTGATCTATGCGTGTCAAAACCTATTTCTAATGTATCGGCTGCGTCCCCGTATGAAAAGCGGGAAAATGTACAACAATGGCGGCTGAGATGGAATAGTTGGATTTTGATTTGAGAAATGGATAGAAAGAGAGTTAGGGTATAATTAAAGCCAAGTGAAGGTAGGTATACTTGATAATCAATTAGGGAATAGTAATAGCCATCATGGAGGAGAAGTGGAGAGGACTGAAACGCAATCAAACCGGGGTTAAAATATGTTAACAATATTGATCGTTACGGATATAATTACGTATGAGTCGAGTTTTCAGAATCAGATATTTAGGCAAAATAAATAAGGTTCGGCCTATATTTCAGTAGTCGTTTTCTGAGGTTGAAATCCGTTCACGACTTAAAGAGGTTAGAACAAGTCTTCATTAAAGATCTTAAAAGAAATAATCATCCATCATGACGAGTAAACGACGAACGTCTGAAGTATGTATACACAACATCATGAAAAATTGTGCAATACATTCATTAGAGGGAGTTCCCTCACTTAGTATACAAGATGTTTGCCAATACTTCGCCCATGCCACTTCCGCGGAAACGAACCATCCGCATTTACTCCATGTTTCAAATGTAAGAAGCAATTTTCATTCAGCTTCTTTAAAAGAAAAACTGCCACTCACGATATGGAACATATTTCCTCATGAATGCTTCTGTGAACATTTCAATCTTGAGCGCTTCAAGCCTTAGCCTCAAATTTCTACTTCCTATTATTTCCTCTTGCATTCACATCCCACATCTCATTCATCATTATCATTTCGGCTGTAACCATTTACCTTGAGTGGCTCCCCAGCCTCGTAATATGTGGGAAAAATATCTATGTAAAATAAAGATTGTTCAACATTTTACAATTATTAAGTTGGTGTAAATGTCTCCAGGAATTCTTTGCCAAGATCTAATATTCATCTAGATTCATAGCATCATGATTCAGTCAACATATATTTTAACTTGATTTTTATGACCTTATGCAAATTGTGTATTCTATAATAAAAAAAAAAGATTCAGCTTTTCATTCATCCAATTCATCGAAGAATTATTTAATAACTTAAAATAATTTTAGAACGACTGATTGTAGTACATGAGGCGAAAAAAATGAGAGCCTGAAACAAAAGGAGTCTGGAAAATATACGTTTAAAAAAAATTCATATTAACTGCTTTAACGTTTGTTGCGTTAAATGTGCAAATTTCTATTTTAGCGTGAGTGCATATGCATATAATACATAGGGATCAAATAATTCTCCTTACAACTGATCACACACACCTATATATATATATATATATATATGTGTGTGTGTGTGTGTGTGTGTGTGTGTGTGTGTGTGTGTGTGTGTGTGTGTGTGTGTGTGTGCACGCGTCGTCTGTGTGAGTGGGGCAAGATTTCAAAATTTCAGAAAATTTTAAAAATTCCAAAAAGGGAAAATGTTTACAAACTTTTAGTAGGATTAAAATATGAACAGATAGATAGATAGATAGATAGATAGATAGATAGATAGATGTGGTGTTTATCCAAGTTCTCGTATAGTCCGAATAAATTAGCAGTTAATATTCTTACAACATTCAGATTATACGCACATTTCAATTTCCTCGGATCATAAATATTAGGGCTCATGGAGAAGACCGAACTCCCTTCGCAGGAATAACCGGATAACCATCGAATTTCTTTAATATATTGCATCTGGAAAATATCTATATTATTAAACAACTGCTACGTCTGATAAAAAGAAACACACATACTTCTCATTGGTCATTTTCTTACTTAAGGGTAGACAAGAATTCGGTAATGTATACCTAAACATACACAGATCCCTATGTGGCGAGGGTAGCTTACGGTCAAATCACGCTGAAAACACCGGTTCTCGTTCGATCACCGAGCATCGTAGAGCCAGGGCAGTACTTAGATGGGGGACCGCTTGGGAACACCTGGTACTGTAAGCCCCCAAAATCCAACCCTTACCTCACAGTCGGTGGGGGGGGGGTGTAAACGGTAGTGTCAGAGCTATGCCGTCCGGAACTTCGGTCCTGGTAGGGCCACCCAAGGCGGACAGGTCTGACACACACGCCGGCTAACAAGGGCTCTGGTGAAAATCCAAGGAGCGTCTGCATCGGTAACCGGCGGCTTCTGGTCGTTCCTGTCTCTGCGTCTGTGGGAACCCCGCGGCAAGCAAGAACGTTATCCGAGTAGGCCTGGGTACCCTACTTCTGTAATTTATCCCAAGAATCTTCTTCTCACAACAGGAAGAAGCCGGATCAATCCGCCAAGGGTGAATGCCGCATCAATACAAATAAAAATATAAATACAATGTGCCGAGGGTGCGGTTCTGCTAAAAAAAACTCAATAGTGCATCCGAGTTTCTTTTGCAGATGCACACTTGTGTTTGTTCACATACTCAGTGTCCACCCGTGGTTTATAGTGCAACTATGCTGAGCGGACCTTTGTTACAGTTTCTGGGAGAGCGCGCGCACGCGCGCACTCTAGCGTGGTCAACAGTCTGAACAATGCCAGCACACTCAAACTCTCGGTCACAATGACTTGCGACTTCATGCTATCACAACTACTGAGGACTCCCAAGGGTTCCGTCTACCCAGTTTTTGACAAGGCTTGGGTCAACCCGTGGCATGGTTTTCAGGGCACTTTCCAAAGGTGCCACATGCTGGGATCGCCTCTCCACAAGTCACTTTCGTGACAAATCAACCATGGTAAGATTCGAACGTTCTAAACATTCTGCCACGTACCCATAAAACACTGTCATAACACAAATCATGATTAACTACCCTTACAAAAAATATTCCCGTAAGTATTCTGATCTGACATATGATTATATTTTGGTCCATGTATCCAAAGAATCGTGAAGCACTAGACCGACTCAAATGCTAAATCGATTTCAATCGAGTTTAGTCTTCTTATCCTGAATGATTCTGCATCCACAGACATCATATATCTTGTATTTTAAATATAAACTCAGATACCTTAGTCAACCATCCAAAAGTATATCTACCAGACACAAACAAGCAATTTTATTTTTCATTTTAAATATAAAATTGGATTTAAAAGGATTTTTAAAATTATAGATTTGAAGATAAGAGCGAATGATACATCAGTCCGTTCGCCCGTTAAGAGTTCTGCGAAATCCAAACCAAAATTTTATTTATATTCGAACACTTTACTACACTGGTTCAAGTGATTGCAAGAGGATAGCTGGTGAGGGGGAATGATTAAAAGATAATCAAAGATTTAGAAACAGTTACAAAAAAAAATTCATATGCCAAAAATAAATAAGATTTCAAAATTTAAAATATTCTTATGGATTATTTGTAATTGCATGCATGAGTCCCAGTATAAATAGTTATAAATAATTATTGACCGATTTTAATCATATTGCTGATAATTATAAATGTATAAAAATGTACTGTTGGTTTTTATTTGAGGGGAGTTCACAATTTGTCCATAGCTATGACAGTAACAGGCGCTACCACCCCAGGTCAGGGTAGACCTGGGAATAGCAGTTAAGGGGTGACATGATCTTCAGAACCACCCAGTTGATAAAAGTGTTTGTTGAAGCCAATGACTTGACTCAAAGTGTTGTGGAGTCAATATCTGGCTAGTTGGATTAATAAAAACTGATAATGTGATAGCAGGAAGCATGTCACGTGGACGAAATAAACGGTTTGTTTCGAAAATTCCAAAAACATCGGCCGAAACATCTTGAAAAGGGCAACAAAGATGAGGACAATAGTCCGACTAATGTAAATACTGTACATAATACCTCATTTCAGAAATATAGACAGACTCAGATTGAGAAAACTTTAGTGAGGAGAGGTGAGAAAAAGGACAATAAACAGGAAACAGGATTCAACAATGTAGATTAAACAATACTCGTTATCAATATCATATAGCGGCTAAGAGTTTCTTTTTTACACAGATAAATAATTATATATATATATACAGATATTAACTTATGAATATCTAGATTTTTGTAATAATTTCACCCCAAGCAGAAGGGAGGCAGAGAGTTACAGGGAGTGAAAGAGATTGAGAAAACAGTATTTACATTAGTCGGACTATTGTCCTAATCTTTGTCGCCATATTTGTCACAACGTTTCGGCCGTTGTACGCTCCGGCCTTCTTCAGGTGGTTGGAATTTCGAACTGAACCCTTTATTTCGATCACTGGGGTAGACTGTTTCTAGTTCCACGTGCCATGTTTGATGGATGTCAGTTATCTCCTGATAATTTTCCCTCTGAAAGTTCTCCACTTCCTTAACCAGGTATTGAACTCACCTTCTTTGGGTCTGTCACTGGATCTAACCAACGCCTTTATCCACTGTGCCATGTGTCCTTAAGGACACATGGCACAGTGGATAAAGAACCTGAAGAAGGCCGGAGCGCACAACGGCCGAAACGTTGTGACAAATATGGCGACAAAGATGAGGACAATAGTCCGACTAATGTAAATACCGTACATAATACCTCATCTCAGAAATATAGACAGACTCAGATTGAGAAAACTTTAGTGAGGAGAAGTGAGAAAAAGGACAATAAACAGGAAACAGGATTCAGGAAGAAAGAAGATGGCAATTGACATTCCATTTATATTTTTGAAGATTGTAAGTGGCAAGGAAACAATAAATCGAGAGGGAGTCCCACGGACGAGAAATAAGTGAAAAGAAAATATTAGAATAGAACAGACGCTGGCATCTAAATAGTTAACAGTAAAATGAGTAGATTTGAAACCTTGTATCATTCTGTAGTATATATTGATATTTCGTTCCAATTATCTATTAAACAGGAACCTCCTATTCATAAGATCTATTTCCGTTACCAGCATGCTGATTGGGACTCACTCCGAGACTTCCTTCGAGACGCCACCTGGACTGAGATTTTTAACCTTCAAATTGAGAATTGGGTCACTGAGGTTTAAACCTCAGTCTCCTATATGGTTCACACCAGCATGCTATAGCCCACATGAACCACTATTTTCGGCTCTACTAGCGTGATAGCTCCTCTCATAACAGACGCCTATTAAATGCAAACGCGTCCTCGAAGAAGCTAAGTCATTGTTTGCTGAGAATGAGGCACTGTATTGCATCTAAGAACTTTGGCTCTCTTGATTATTGGCGGCTCTGTAATACTGTATTAAATAAGATCAAGTTTTCTATTCTCCCACTCTTTAATCAATTTGAGGTGTCAACATCTTCTGCTGATATAGCTGAATGTTTTGCCTGTACATTTTCTTTAAACTTTACTCTTGACTCATCTTGCTGAACTTTCCATTGATAACCGAGTCTCTGTTGAGTGATATGCATATAAACCCCTATCATTGGATCTGCTATCATCCTTAATCTGGATCCCCCAAGGCATGTGCATCTGATCGTATCCCTGTAATCGTCCTTAAGCAGTGTGATTATGAACTGGATCCTGTTCTCTCTAAATTCTATAAGATGTGCCTTGCTGCCTTTTGCTTTCCTGCTTGTTGGAAATCCTCATCTGTTGTTTCTGTTTTTAAGAATTCAGGTGAACCGTCTGACCCTTCTACTTGCTTTTGGTAAACTACTAGAGGCCCTAATCAACTCTGAATTAGTCAGGCATTCCATATCGCAGGGGATTCTTTCAAACAAGCAATATGGCATTTGTTTCTCTAGGTCAGTGTTTCCCAAATTGTGCAGCGCACCTCATACGTGTGTCGGAAGAAAATAGCAGGTGAGGTTGAATGATTGAAAGACAATCAAAGATTTAGAAACAGTTTTTAAAAAATTCACTCAGTTTGAGGTGTTAACATCTTCTGCTGATAAAGCTGAATGTTTCATCCGCAAATTCTTAAATTCTACTTTTCGATCATCTGGAATATCCCTGCCTGAGTTTCTGATATGCATATAAAGCCTTCGATGGTGGCTGCTATCATCTCTAACCTGGATCACCACAAAGCATGCGGACCTGAAGAAGTGTGCCCCCGAACTGACTCCTGTTCTCTCTAAACTGTATAATAAATGACTTGCTGCCTTTTGTTTTCCTGTCTGCTGGAACTCCTCATCTGTTACTCCAGTTGTTAAGAATTCGAGTGAACCGTCCGATCCTTTCAACTATCGGTCTATTAGGAAAACTTCTAGAGGCCCTAATCAGTGCTGAATTGGTTAAGCATCTCACATTGGTTAAGCATCTTGTCTTTCAGATAAGCAATATGGCTTTTGCTTCTCTGTGGAACTACTGATATACTGACTCTGAATTCAAACCTGCTCTGAGAGGAGGGTGAATGGAGTCTCTCTGAGCCTTGGTTGGCAATCCATTTAGTGATGGTGTCACGATAAAAACACCCTTGATAGCCCTAGCGAAGCATCAAGAATTCAGCTGTTTGACAAGATTATGAACTACACCAATCAAAAGTATTGGTGAGTTCAATCTCGGCTGAGGCCGCAAGATGAGATGATGATATACTGACGAAAGTTGCGGAAAGAGTCTACAAAGTTACGATAATGGTGAGGCTCGGACTGTAACTTTGGACATCTTTTTACTGGTTTTGATAAACAGGTCTTCTATACGAGCTGAAAAGTTATGGTGAAAATCTTTAAACTGGTTATGGTGCTCACCCCTTTTTCATACAAGTGAACTCGACCAGTGTGTACCTGTGCTGCTGCCGTTAAATACCCAGAGTCAGAGAAGAGAGAGCAGAGATTGTGATCGAGTTGGAGGTAGAGTAATAGTATGAGGTAACCGCTTGTAGAAGTCACAGTTACAAGCACGTAGACTCTAAGGAAGTCCTACTTCGAGCCTGGATTTACCAGACTGTATATATATATATATATTATTATTGCTACTAACTGCGTTTCGGGATTTACTAACCGTATTACCAATTGTATTATTGTGTAAATACATTTATTTGCCCTATTTCATTCTTGCGTTTGTCATTCAATGGAGACCGAATTTCCACCCCGGAATCCACAACACTTATCAAATCGTCAAATGAAAGTTATCCTGAACGGACACATTTCTAGGTCCTTTTGTACTCATTTAGATGTCCCCCAGGGCTCTATTCTTGAATCTACTTTGTTTTTAATTTTTATTAATGACGTTACGCTGATGACACAACCACTTACTCCTGTCTTGATGGTAAGTCTGATCAGTTCAATAAAGTCAAATTAGCTGCTGATGTCCAAAATGACCTTCAGTCTGTTGTTAACTGCGGTAAAGGATGGCTTGATCATTTTAACGCCTGCAAAACAAAACTGTTCTCTCTATTAATTAATCTTTTTTCTGTCAACATGAATGATGCTGACCTCAGTGCAACTTCTCAGGCTAACATTCTCGGTTGAAATGAAATGGAAAGACTATTGAATCAATTGCTAGGTCAGTTGGTTCGTGCTAGACAATTTGTCTCTCCAGAATTTATCATACATATGTACTGGGTGCAATGGATGAATTGTCGTCTAAATTACACCAAAATGAAAATAACATAAGTGACATTTCATTTTAACAGATATATTTATCAAAATTACATAAAAACAGAAAATTCATTCAATAAAATCGCAATTGGCTTCAACCATGGCCTCCAGACAACTTTGGAATCTCCTGCAACTCTTCTGGAGAGTCTCCTTGTTTAAGTTGGTGAATGCTGCCACAATCCTTGCCTTCAGTTCATCTTTGGTGTTACAAAGAGTTTCATTTGTCTTTTGCTCAATTGCACCCCACACATAAAAAATAAAGGGTGTTGCTGTCTAGGGAGTTAGATGGCCAAACGTAAGGGGTGATGGGGTCGCAGAAATTGTCTGACAACCATGACTGAGTTTTCCTGCTTGTATGGCATGGTGCAGAGTTCTGTTGCCAGACATAGAGTCTTCAAACAGCCACTCTCTTGACCCTAGGCTGCAATAGCACCTCAAGACACTTGCTGTAGGCCTTCCTGTTGAGGCTGAGGCCATCACCAACTAATTTGGGAGAGTTCTTATCAGAACAATCAGAGTAAGTTTTCCGAGTTGTCGTACCTTCGTAATGACCCTTAGACTCAACCGACTCTTTATGAATCCTCTGCACTCTTTTCAGAGCTTCCGGCACGAATATCAAACAGTACAGTATGCCGCTTTCAAATTTCTAGCGCAGTGAATTGCGTTATGGTGCTCTTTTTCTGACTGGTGGTGCCCAACTATGCAGTCGAGAAAATCAAAAACAAACAGCGCGCATGTGCAAAATTAAAAATATAAAATGGCGATAATTTCCCAATTGCACCATGTATAAGTACCATTCGTTCATGCTTCTGAATATTACTGCCACATATGGTCAGAAGCTATATATGTTTTATAAAATCCAAAGCAGAATTCTATTGGCCCTGAACTACTACACGACTTTTGTTACTTTACCACCGCCATAAACTTGCTGCTTTGTCTATAAATACTTCCATAATATTTGTTCAGATGAGCTCTTCGCTATGGTACATAGACTTTTTTGAATTTAAGCATAGTACTTGACTGGCGACGAGGTTTCATCATTTTACAGTGAAGTTGGCTAAATGTAGCCGTAAGTTCTATACTAACAGTTTCTTTTCTCGCACTTCTCATTTGTGAAACTCCCTCCAGCCTACATGCTTTCCAGCCAACCTTAATCTGCAAAACTTTAAATGCAATGTCTTTCGCTTTCTGCTAACCTCCAAGATTACTCTCCTTTTGTTTTCGATCCTTAGTAATGTTTCTGTTTTCTAATTCTTCCACGCCCATTAACCCATTGTGTCCTAGGGGCTTTACTGCATTGCTTGGGTGAACTCGATTAAAAAATTACAGAAGGAAGCTACGTCACGGAAAGTGACTGAAATCGAGCTGCCAGGTCAGGATCGATTAATTTACAGACCCTTCATGAATCTCTAGATATATAGTCAGAACACCAGGCCACTAATGATAGCAGTATTCAATGAACGGAGTAATGGTAAATCTACAGGTGTGCAAGGTGGATTCCAATGATAAGAATTGCCTGGTACAACACAATAAACCAACTTTCCTTGCAGTAGACCTAACAAATGATTCAATATAATCATTCAACTCCATGTCAATGGAAAATATGAACTCCAAATGTCCGTGAGATTAGTTCATTTTTAGGACAATCGCAAGGACACCATCGAAACGGCAAGTCTTGTGTTCTAGGAAGAACATTGAACAGAGATACTCCAGATGAGTCGAGAAATGGAAGAGGATTTTCTAGCCAAACACTCTGCTTCATCTCCAGTGGATGTCTACACTTCAAACTGATTGAAGAGGTTGGGGGGGACTGAGAATTTGCTTTTGTTCAGTACACTCTTGCAGAGCCGCCAGTAATCTCTGGAACCAAATTTGTGAAAGGCTATACGGTGTCTCATTCTATCAGCGATTGGAGAGACGATTACACTCATTACGCGCGGTGAGAGAGAGATGTTTGTTACAATCGGACCTATCGCTCTGGTATGGATGGAAGTTGGGATTCCTGTGGGCTATAGAGGCTCAACAGACAAGAGAGGGCCAAGAAGATTCATTTGCTATTTCCGTACTGGCACGAAAGCTTTGATGCCGGCTTTCACCTAGAAATATACCTAAGTGGTACATTTCTCAACAGGATGATTAAAAATATAATTCCAAGTGGCATCGCAAAGAAAATCACTAAATGAATTCCAATCAGTGCCTTGTTAACAGAAAGATGTTCTGATAATAGAGAGTTCTTGCCTGATGGAACAGCAGAGAGAAACATCTATAGATACAACAGAGAACAGATCTGCTGAGCACGACATGAGTCCGGAGAAGAGGTAAGGAAGAGATAAAGTAGAGAAGTATGTCCGTCAGAAATACTAGGGAAACACATTGGAAGTCTACTATTTGAGAGATATTGAGAAATACAAAGTCTGGTCAGTGTCATTAGAGTGATGAAGCCACTTGACACGATGGGCACTGAAGTCGCCAAACGCAGTGATATTTACGGACGAGTGTAAAGAGAGAGACATTCATACTATCAGAAATTCTATCTCGTAATCAACCGTCATGAGAGGAAGAAGAGATAACAGACTGAGTTTAATAGTGAAAGTCGGAAGCAGATGTAAGAATTATCAATAGATAGTTCCTTGGTTAGTGGGAGATGTTTGCTAACATAGACACTCAGGCCATACATGTGAACACTAGAGTCCTTTCGAAAGAGAGAAAGATAACCAGGAAATGAGAATTCACTGGAAGAGATTGATGAGGCCTCATTAGTTTCACAGAGAGTTAGGATGTCTGGATAACGTTCCAAAAGAAACGATTCTACACCTCAGAAATTGGTAGGAATGTTACGAATGTTGGAGAAAGAAAGGTTGAGGGGCGTAGGTATTTTTCGAAAGCTGGTTAAGATTTATTTTGTTTCTTTGTTTTGGTCATGATATACTTTTAAAGGTGGGAGAGGCCAAGAATATTAGTTTCTGTCGGTCGTTAAAGGCAACATGAACTGGCGGGAAATTGGCATAGACTGCAGCATATTTCATGGATTATGAAAACTTTGGACTTTCTATGATGAAATGTTTTGAATGTCTGGTGAGTCTAAATCAATTGATTGTATAACAAACAATGTTCGTTACCAATGTCTATTGCTGTCCATATAGTGGTTTCTTTTTTTCTTCTATTTAACTGTTTCCTCTTTACACAGAAAGTCTAAAATGCAAAGATTAGATAGATAGATAGATAGATAGATAGATATGAACAGACAAAGACAGATAAACAGATAAATACTGTCTTACCAATATCTAGAAATTTAATAGATCATGAAAATTTTAGACTTTCTACAATAAAACACTTTGAATGTCTTGTGAGATTAATACGACTGTATAATCAATAGTTGATTGATTCATTTTTTTACTGCTTTGCAAGATTTTTAAAACCAGAAAATGTTTTTAGATTATAAAATCTTTTGTATTTTTTAAGATAATAGTAATTTAGTTATACAACTCTTACTAATTAATCGACAGATGGGGGAGGAGAAGAAGTGGTTTCATATCTTTCTAAAGGGTATTTGCATGAAAATGAACATAACGAAACCAAGTGATATTGAAACTCGGATCTCCGATTAAAAATTCCGAGCCATTATCCATCGCACTACTCACACATCTAAGCTTACGACACCTGGTATTTCCAAAGTAGTCACCCATCTTGGTACTGACCAAGATCGACATTGCTTAACTGCGGTGATCGTATGGTAACCACTGATTCAAAGTAATGTGGTCGTAAGCCCTAATGATCAATAGTGCTCTTTGGTAATGTCTATAGTGGCTATATAGTAGTTATATGTTTATATAGTGGCCAACTGTTACCTTTTTACATTGAAAGAGTAAAAATGCAAAGCTGCATTTGTTACTTTGAGAATTTTAGATGCAATAGAAAAATGCATTGAAACTAAGATACCAATAAAGTACAAAACACCCTATGAGATATGAGAGTGCCGACCAACAAGACTTTTAAAAAAATCTGATGTTTGCTTGCTTAGTCAGATTTGGGAAAACAGACCAGGCTGAGAACTTTCAAGCAAGAATAATCGATCAATAGATAGATAGATAGATAAGAATAGATTGAGATAGATAGATAGATAGATAGATAGATAGATAGATAGATAGATAGATATGAACAGACTGAGATAGATAGATAGATAGATAGATAGATAGATAGATAGATAACAGATTGAGATAGATAGATAGATAGATAGATAGATAGATAGATAGATAGATAGATAGATATGAACAGACTGAGATAGATAGATAGATAGATAGATAGATAGATAGATAGATAGATAGATAGATAATAGATTGAGATAGATAGATTGAACAGATGAGATAGATAGATAGATGAGATAGATAGATAGATAGATAGATAGATAGATAGATAGATAGATATGAACAGACTGAGATAGATAGATATGAACAGACTGAGATAGATACTGTATGTGCAGAGTGCGATCGATAAATTGTAGTCTAAAGCTGACATCTCATTTTAACAGGTATATTTACCAAAATTACACAGAAATATCTTGAAATAGTAAAGAGTAAAATTATTCAATAAAATCACCATCGCCTTCAATCACGGCCTCCAAACAACTTCTGAAACTTCTACTGGACAGTTTCCTTAAGTTGGTGAAGGCTGCCATAATCCTTGCCTTCAGTTTCTCTTTGGTGTTACAAGATGATTTGTTGGTCTCTCGCTCAACTGCTCAACAGACATAATAATAAAAGCTCGTTGCAGTCTGGGAAGTTAGGTGGTCAGATGTAAGTGAGGATGCAACTGAGAGGCATGACTGGGTTCTCCTGCTTGTGTGACATGGTGTAGAGTCCTGTTGCCAGACATAGGGTCTTCCGCATTAGTTCCTCAAGGCACCTGATGTAGGTCACCGTATTACGAGTCCAAGGCCCTCACCATCAAAATCGGGAGTTCTTTTCTTATCAGATCGATAAGAGTGAATTTTCCGAACTACCGTACCTTCGTCATCACCATTAAACTCATCCAACTTTTTTTCTGAATCCTTTGCACTGTCCTTAGATTGATACCCAAACACTCTGAAATTTTCGTATCGGGGCTCCCAGCGCGAATGTCAAGCAGTACATCATGTGATTTCAAAATTTCTGGCGGAGTGAATTCGTCATGGTGCTTTTTTTTCTCACAGACGGTGCCCAACTGACCCTACTATACTGTGCGGTCGACAAAATCAAAAACAAACAACGTGCAATTTACCAATTCTACCCTATATATCAAGCCAAAAATGTCCTGAACATAGATAGATAGATAGATAGATAGATAGATAGTGTTATGGAGTGATTTCACAGTGGAGGCTTGTATTTTGTACTAAGTCGGTCCTAAAATAGGTTCGACGTACAAAACGTTAATAGGTATGACGCAGAGTAATCTAGTTGTGGTTGCTGATACTTTAGTATCCGACTAACGGTCGTCCGGCATCGACTGACTTGACCGACCAACTGAGCGACTCCTCGTTACTCTTACTAATTATAGGTGGGAGAGTCTATTAACTATAGAATAGGTGTGTTCCACTATAAAAGATAGATAGATATATATGCATATCAAGCCAAAAATCTCTTGTAAAATTATACGCATCCAAACATTAAAACCCGTTGTTAAGATTCTATCATAAAAGCGGGAAATAAGCAAATCAGTTAAACATCAGCAACACAGCGATGAGAAGAGTAGCTTTCCTTCTGTCTTTTTTTCTTCTTCTTTATTTATTTTTTTTTTATTTTTTTTTTTTTTTTGGCATATTCTTACAAATGCAAAAATTGAGGAGATAAAAATATTATTTAATACTTATGTGGCCTTGTTTTGTTTATCTTGAATCAGAGAAAAGCAATAATAGAGTAAACAAGCGTTAGAGCAAAACAATCATCGAGGAAATTGTTCATTGTAATGTATCGTCTTCGGGTTGAAGAACTTCGAAAAAAAAAGAAAGAAAAACAAAATTTCAGAAAAAAATAAATATAAAAGATGAAGCAAAACAAAAGAAGTATAACCACGAAAAACAAAAAGAAAATTAATTTAAAAAAAAAACAAACGGAGAGAAAAAAAAAGAAGAGAAAGTTCAACGAAAGAAAGAAAGAAAATGAAGAAAATATAATATGCTAAAAAGGAAACAAAATGGAGGGAAACTTGAAAAAAGGATAAAGAAAAATAAAAAGAAGAAAAAGATATGAGCAATCATTCGAATTGAAAGAAAAATGCGAACGAAATTAAATGTCTAA